CCTAATGCTGTAACAAGATACGATAAGTCATTCTATATTTCTCTGTTTTTTTTAATCTTCAAGCATATACAAACTTTACCACAAAATCTAACTTATTTTGCAACTCACTATGATATGAAGCAGCTCATTCAAGGCACCTTCTCTTATCTACACTGAAACTAATGTTTGGAGGAGGCAGAGCACAGAGGAGAGAATCAAAGAAACCAATTCTTTACCTAGAAAATAGACACATTCAAGGTTATTAGTCTGTGCTAACCTCCAAACAAAACCAACTTACCCCTAAAAATTGATCGCCTACCTGCAGCTTCTGCTTACTCTTTTGAAGGTTTTGGTAGGCAAAGAATAATGTATAGCGTAAGTCAACAAAATTTTGAATGTTTCCACAACAGGATGTTTTGTCACTGACTTCTAATTATGACATTTCACAGAGGGAAGAAGAATGAAACCATCTCATAATTTTCAAATGCTCTGCCGCTTAATGATGGTTGTGAGATTAAGAAGTAGGAATATGATTCATTCACGAAAACAATCTTGACATCTGTATCCAACAGCTTCGTACAATGAACATCCTCCAGTCAGTTCCACATGTGAGTTTATCTCTTCCTTTCACCACAATTCAAGTTCTTAATTTTTTGTTAATTGAACATATTGTTTATCATATTTAGCTTTGACTTTTATGTCATACTCTGTCAACAATTTGTAGACATGACCTATTATTAGTATGTTCTATTTCTTGGTTGCAAGTAGTGAGCCTACAGTGTCTCATCGACAACCTGACCGAATTCAATCTTAAAAAAAAAGTATTGCTCGAAGAATCCTTCCTTTGATCAATTTTGTTATACCTAATTTTTATGCTAAATAACACCTAATAAACGTGTTGCAGAATCTAAAAATCAAGAAAATCAATGAGAAGAAGAAAGCATCAAGACAATGGTTGCTCAGTATTCTGCGGGAGCCACCTTAAGAGGGCCCATGCTGCACCAAAAAAGATGATTCCATGCCTCCAATCGAAGCCATCCTTGCTCCCTTAGAAGCTGAGGTTAAGCTTGCACAATCAGAGGATTTATGTTGTCTTTGTAAGTTTAATTTCTTGCTCTATAACTTCGTATAGGGATATATAAAACTGATGAAGTCACTGATCAGCTACTTTGTTTTTGCCTAGGTTGGGAAGGTTCAAGAGATAAGATGTTTTTTCTGCAGTTATCATCTTATTCTTTGTATGTATTCTGAACATGGAGAGATAAGAAATCTCCTAGTACAACTATGTTTATGAAGATCAAAGACAAAAGTTTGAAAGCTGTTGTACTCTAATTGCCATAACCAATAGTCATTCGTGGACAAATATATGTTTGCCCTATAGGGTTTTCTCATTCAAAAGGCTAAGAATTATATAAGAAGAAAACCAAAACTCTCAAAGAGTAAAAAACATTGTTTATAAAGAAATAATCAAAGGCTTTACAACTAAAGAAAGTTGGTATGAAATGCGTTTTTAGTTTAAATTGTTGCTTGAATAGGCCTTATGGAGTCTTCGATGGAGAATGAACAGAGATCTCAAAGAGTGGAGAGGAATTTTCTTGATAAAAAACAAGAACACCATTGGACGGGTGGGATCCACCGGCGGGAGGAGAATAGTGGAGGATGTTTTCACCAGCCGCACTTGAAGAAAGAAGAAAGATATAGATCATGAGATAATTCAGCCGACTCAGCTCTGTTTGAACTGAGTTCAATCTTTTCAGTGAGTGAGTGACTGGACTCGTCTGTAGGTTTTTTTAAAGGCGTTGTTACTATTTATGGACGAGGAGTAGTTTTATTGATGAGAGAGTTCGGTTTACAAATAAGGAAATGAGAGGCGAGGCAGAGCCGCTTAAGGAGCTCAGTCGTGTCGTACAAGTCGGAAAGAAGGTACAAGAGTGAAAACCCTAATTCTAGCCGCCTTGTGAGTAAGTCTGATTTCGGATCCCTTCTTAGTTGTCCTTTCTCTCTCTCTTTTATAACCACTCCTGTTTGACCTAGCGAGCTGGGCGCATGCGTGGAGGGCCTTCCGCCTGATGGGCCCTGATCGGCCCATTAAGGTAAGTGTTCCTCTTAAGCGTCGTTAATTCGGATAATCGTGGGAATTATCCGAGTTAAACCTGATTATTTCGTTGACCAACGAAATGTTACCTCGTTGGACCGGAGCTCGTATGAGTCGGATCCATTATTCAGTGGGCCTTATAACCGGGAGTATTCCACCACCAACAAGCTCCAGTTAGCCGCTGGCCGAATTATGAGAGTGAGAGTAAGAATATTTTCGCATTTAAGGATCATATCAATTTTCAAAGCTAGAATCATGCAAAAAAAAGTCGTAACACCACCAACAAGCTCCAGTTAGCCGCCGGCCGAATTATGAGAGTGAGAGTAAGAATATTTTCGCATTTAAGGATCATATCAATTTTCAAAGCTAGAATCATGCAAAAAAAAAGTCGTAACACCGCTATAAAAATCCGAGGAAATGGTATATGATTTATTTAATTATTCCCATAAGGTTTTGATTAATCTTTAGCTTGCTATCTTATTTTCTAAGCTGATTCTTTTGTTCTCTGGTTGTAATTAGTAGCTCTGTCACACACAAAAAAATTGATCACCTTAAAGGATCATGGCTCCCTTTAGCTTAACATTGGTCATCTTGATCCTCATGGTATCTACACTAGCCAGTTCGCCACACTCCCCCCTCTGCGTTTTTTTTTTTTCCGGTGTCCAGATTTGTCATAGCTCTCAACTAATCTACTTTAGATTACTGCCTCATCATCTCAAATCTCGAATTAGTCTTCCATAATTGTATTTAGCAAGTATGATTGTGTTTTTCTTTCAACGTTTTCATTTATATGAAACATAACGAGGATACTAAAAATGTTTGTTTAAGAAGTTGTTTCGAAATAATTATTTTTATAAGACTGTGGTGGATATGAAACTATTTTTCATCTGACTTTTTTTTTAAGGTGAAATTATTATAATATTAAACTAATCGGATTTTTATCATTTTAGTCTGAACATAAATGTTTCAAGTGTAACATTGAAATTCACTTCAAAACTAAATTATATTAAAAAACATACGATTTCAACTTATATAGAATAGAGTTAAAAATTGTCTGAAGAAGATGAGAACATAAGGTTAATAGGCTATCAGCGTTGATTCATATAGAATAGATGTTTCGAGTACTACATTACTAAACTACTATTTAAGGTTTATATAACATAAGAGAGAGTCATCATTGTCTGAATAAAGATTTTATTCAATACTAGGGGTTGGCCCGCCCTACGGGCGGGTGAATTTAAAAAATATTTTACTTTTTGTAAAACATTTGAAAAATACTTTAAATTGAACATAACAAAAGTAATTTATTTTCTAAGATTATATTTGTAAATTTTATTAAAGTTGATTGGTTTGAATTGAAAGAACCACTACATTTCTTTTTCAAAGAAAACAAATAATTTTAAATAACAAATTTAAAAAAATTAATGGTTTATATCTCTTCTTTTGATATCTATTTCACTTTGATATAGTTGACAAAATCTAAAATAAGAATAACTAATCCATTATTTGTAAGAGTTTCAGTTTATAATATTAGTACACCAATTATTTTTTTTCAAGATAATCAATTAATCCACCTCCAAGATAAACCAAATTGAACATAATGTAATGTGATAAATTATAAAAAGTTATATTGTAAAGTAATATACAAATAGTTTCAATAATTTCATATATACACATTAATATATTTTATTTGACAACAAATGATTTTTTATAATATTTATTTGTTTAAGTGTATATTAGATATTCAATTTATAATGAAAATTGATTTAATTTTTAGTGTTTTAGTAATTGTGTTTTATAGATTATTCTAGCATTTGTTGAAATTTGTTGAAAAGTTTGCTCATGTTATTTGAAAATAATTTTATAGATTCTGTTTTATAAATTAATAAATTATTGAATTCATACCACATCATATCAATTAATTTATTTTAGATAAGTTAGAGTAAACCAAACCGTAATTTAACCAAAATAACTTAAATGTAGTGTAACTATTAATAATCTGGAAGTTAAGAGGAATCATCCTCATACAAATGTTTTCTGTAATTTTTTTTTCCGTCAAACCCTAAAAACAAAAGAAGTAACACAATATTTTAATATTTTCAGTGTTGGTTGTACTGGCGTTGATTTCTTGCTTGTTTGGGACCTTGGGTCACTGTTTACGTATTAGTATTAGTTTGATGCTGTTTGCGTATTATTATTAGTCACTGTTATTATAGCTTGAATTCTCGTCTTCGTAATTTTCAAAAAAATGTAATTTAATGTTATTTATTATAAAAGTTGAAATAGAAAATAGAAACCGTGAAAATACATACTGTGCTCAAATCATTAAAAAAACGAATTTGGTCATTTGCTTGTAATAGAAGCAAGTGTCATACTGATTATCTAGGTTTGTACCAATGATATCTTACCTAAAAAAAGGTTTGTACCAGTGACATGTTATTATTGTTCTTTATGTTCTGGTAATAACAATCAAGTCTAGTGACCAATTTTATGGATTGATTTTTTGACGTGCTTCCAACAACTGACAATCAGTGGCGGACGCACAGCCAAGCCTACGGTGGCATGTGACCCCAACTATTTTTTTTTTCCTTAAGCAATTACTATTACATGTGTTGAATGCTCCAAACTTCAAAATTAAACATAGCAGTTGTGACTCCGTCTAATTAAGTCTCTGCATCCGCCCCTGCTGACAATCGAACGATATTTTTGATTGTTTAGTTCAATCCCAAGGAATCTAACATTGCTTGACCGACTTTATGCTCTTCCCTCCATAATATTATTATACCATAAAGATAGACAGCAATCTCATCTTCTATATATGCATCTCCGTTAATGTTGTTTTTATGAAAATACTCTTATATTCTATATACATAATGAGAACCTTTAGAGCAACATCGTCCTATTAAGTCATAAGTATCATAAAAAAATGCTTAAAGAAATTGTCATAAAAGAAGGCTTGAATCTTCTGAGCATCCCCACTTGGCAAATGGGAGATACAATGCTCAAAGAAACTGCAAAGGAGAAGAAAATCTTCGTGAACGCAAAATTTGAAGATGCTAAAAAGCTTGCTCATAGAAGAGACGCGTTGTACGTTAGAATCTTTGCGATCAAGAAACTGTTGAAGAAGCTTAAACTGAGAGAATCTGTTGATGAAAAGTTTAAGAATATTTTAAAAAGTCTTTCTCATTTTCTTGTTGATTCTTTCGAGCCCTGCAAATAGTATCATTATCATGTAGCTGCAAGGAAGGCGAAAGGAGATCAATCGAATGAGGAATTTGCGAGCAAGGCAAAACAGAGTGCGTATATCATATGGGTTAAGTTTCTTAGTTCTATTTAGAGAACATCTGAAAATCTTGAATTTTTGGTTGTCTTTGTACTGTGTTGATGTTTCTATTTCAGATTTTGTATGTTGGTTATGTTAAAAGAGAGAGATTGGGAGACAGAGAGGAAAACAAAGTAATTTTTTCTTTCAGATCTTTAATAAAATAAATTTTCAATATTTCGTAAAAGATGTTTGGGATGTTCTTATTAATGTGACAATAAGAAAATCTCAATGAATTTAATTAGCTTTAGCTCTGACTGAGTATCGGTTATTGGTGAGAAACACCTGCTGAGGTGTGAGTATATATGATTATTTTAAGTGTTCAGGCTTGGTCAGAGAGATCGATTGGTCGAGAAGATGCTCAGTCTGTGAAAATGAGTGTTAAACATTTTTCAGAGAGCCTACAATGTCACTTAACCAAACCAGATTCAGCTTTCTATGGGATTGCTTCTCTAGGTGTTTCCTTGACTGTGATCCTCCAACTCATGGTTCTTGGGACTTGCCAAACCAACAAATCAATCACTTTGCATTTCTGGTTTCCTGTGGTTGATCCAAGTTCCAACTAAATCTTCAAGTTTACAAAGTCGAGGTTTATTTAATTAACTGATGTAGTTTGCTTTTATCAGCAAAAAGATTTTTATGTTCATAAAAACTAAGTATGTACTCCATTACACTCCTTTACAACTCTCAAATATCTATCATGAAAACTTAAAATTAAATGTTAAAACTAAAGAAAACCAAAACCATATTCTTCTAAACCAGAGGTAAAACCCATTCGTTATACCGTGTTTTGTTGTTTGGTTGAGCCTTTCTACATATCTCTTACCAGTCACCTAGTCCGGCAAAAGAACACCAAACACTATCTATATAAAACGCAAAAAAATTGGAAGATGATTTCCGATAAGTATATAAACCGTCTTGATCCTGAAGAGTTACGCTATAGCCTGAGCAGAGGTTGCTGCAGTTTTCATCTGCCTGGTTCAATAAAGAAGAGGCTCAGATGAATCAAGAAGCGAAACCAAGCTCAAATTTGACGTGTACACATACACAATGAGTCGGTCTTGTCCTTCCGCACAGTAACCTCTTGTACTCAATAGATTCTTGTGGTGAATAAGGCCTAGAATGCTGGCTTTTCTACTGCAAAAATTATGTCTTCTCTGCTACTTCAGGCCTTCAATCGCCTGAATGCAATCTACGGAACACCAACAACAACAATAAGAACTCACTATTACAAATGAAGATCAAAGAGACCAAGCAATACGATGATGCCATAGCATGAAAGGCTTCTCTACAGATCAAGAAAGTTCTAGATAAGGTCGTTCTTGATAAAGAACACTGATATTGCGACCCAACATCGTCAGTGTGAGCAGTTAAAAATAGGAGGATATATGTGAGGCTAGATCAGGAGGCGGCGTACCTTTTCATCAGTGAGGAGCATGGCAACACCCATGAGCTCTCCTTTTTCTTTATGTTGTGTGCCTCCCAAAAAGGAAAGAGACGCGTCACCACCGTGCGTCTGAGAAGCACTGCCTGTCTTCAAATCGGAAAGCTGGATGGGAGAGGTCCCCACAGATTCCAGTATAAATAATATGGTGAAGCAATGAGATTTGGAGGTCTTTACCCTCTATTTATATTCTGAAAAATTAGAGATTTGCAAAACGGTAATGGAAGAAAAAAAAATAATTAGCATCAGTGTAGTGAAAGAGATGGCAAGAGAGAGATAATTGAAACTCTTAATTAGAACTTTTAATGAGGATTAGAAACGTTATATTTGCGTTTTTGCAGCTGCTCTACAAAAAGGGAATGGAGAAGACAACGCCTAGGAAGGAGAGGTGGGCCTTAAATGAGCTACAAAGATAATATCAGTGTGTGCTATGGGTTTTTCTTTCAGATACAAATTTTCTATCAGAATATTTATTAGCTGAGTTGCGTAAAGTAAAGTGTGAAACTTTTGAGTGAGTACACGAAAAGAAAAAAAAACCTTTGAGACCAATAACTAACCAGATGCTGACACATGGCGAGAAAGCCCCCTATATTAAACAGTGACGTGGATAGCCTAAGGGGGCAGATAAGTGCACTTTATTATTATAGATGTTTGTCGGTTTTTGTAATGCAACCGGGTCAGACGACTCAGACCTACAGTTATCTTGGGTGAAGTTTTAGCAAAAGCATGCCGTTGCTGCAGAAGATGACATGTAAAAGCTTCCTGGTGTTCCACACCCTAGCAATAAAAACAAATCTACTGTAGTTTAATAGTTTCCATAGTTTTTTGGGGCTTCTAAATAAAGTTTATTTGTATAGGATAAACTTATACACCGAAGTAAGAGAGGAATGAATATGGTCCAATTCGCTATTCGTACAAATCAAGCATAAGAAATATCATGAGTACTACATGCAACTAGAACACTAACAATGATCACATAACAATCAAGGAAGAATATATAAAACAACATTTTCATTTTAATAAACAGAAAATATGCAGAAGTGGTTAATATACCTTTAAAGCAAGAAACAACAATTAATCAAACTATCACAGTTTTGTCCAAACAAATATGTCAAATTATAAAAAAGAAAATAATACCGGTGTCAAAAAATTAAGCTAACATCTCCAAATAATAATAAAAATCAAAGAAATGTAAACGACAAATCAAATATTATGTTAATAAAACTTAATATTATATTTATATACTTCTAATTCATTTTATGTTACGAATATAAAATTTGATTTACCAAATTTAATATTACACCATCAAATATATTAAAAATGGTTTCAGATCTGTTCAGGTACTCAAAATTTGATTTCACATTAATGAAATAATAAATAATGAAATTTTAAGTGTATTATTGGAAAAATATTTTCTTTCAATTAATTTACTTATGATAAATTTATATTTTTCCATTAAGATGATCTAAGCCACACAGTAAAATAGAAAAAAAAATCATATTAGTTATACTAAAATATTAAATTTAATATAATATAAAATACATTTTTCACATACATATAATAAAATATAAAAATTTGAAAATACATAAACTGCACGTAGCATGATAAATATCTCTAGTCTTATCCTAATATTAATTAATACACAATGAGCAGACCATTTTCCACACTAACCACTTTTGTATTTATTTTTTATTTTTATTTTTGGAAAACTAACCACTTTTGTAATTGCTGGTCGATTTTCCCTTCCTGCAACATGGAGAACACACGTCTATTCTGACACAACATTCTTCGTTGCTTTTGATGAGGAGATAACCAAACTGACAAATGTTCCGGCAGCAGAGATTGCACAACTGATGGTATATTCATTTGAGTGCAAGCACTCTTATTTGTTTGGTCAATTCTTTCAAATATATTTTTTTAAGTTTTTATTATAAAAATAAAACTCAAAAAGTAAAATAATCAAAATAACATTTTTATTTTGAAAATTTAAACTTTTTTTTTAATTTGAAATTTTATCCCAAAATTAGCTACCATATTTAATTTGGTTTGGTTTGGTATTTATACTACCGGTTTTCGGTTTATTCGGTTTTATACCAAATAACATTATTATTTGATTTGGTTTCATATTATATGATTTTTTTTAAAAAACATATTGTCAAAACTATCATTTATTAAAATAATCCTAGGTGTTCATAAATATAAAAATGTGAAATTAACAACAAACAAAACAATCAACGATTCAGTTTTGTATAGCTTTTCTTATTTTCTCTTTGTTCTTCCAAATAAATTACATGGTACAATCTAATTTCACAATTTCTTACAACATGTAAAATCAAATCAAATTTAGATAATAGTTGAAGAAAATAAAATAAAATTATTAAGATATATCTTCACAAGGTATAAAAAATAAAAATAAAAAGACTATTCCAAGAAAATAAATGGTTATTTAAGGTATATATTTATATATTTTTTATTTGATCGGTTTTATTCGGTTTATTCGGTTTAATCGGTTATAAACCTAACCATATCCAAATCCTACGGTTTTTATAAAATCATATCCATCCGGTTTATATGGTATATACCAAATCCAAACAATATTGTCTATTTCGGTTCGGTTCAGTACGGTTCGGTTCGGTATCTCCATATTGAACAGCCCTACTAAAACCTCACTCCTCAGCTCTGAATACTAAATCTTAAACTCTAAATCCTAAATCATAAACTTCACCTCTTAGTTTTAAATCTTAATGTCTAGATTAATTAATCCTAAGAATATAAGTGTACTTATTTTGATAAAAAAATTTGAATCTATCTTGATCATTTTTATTTTAAAAATTTTGAATCTATTTTAATCATTTTTGTTTTTCAAGTCTATATTTGTAACAAAATTTTTTTTAAGTATACCCTAGAAAGTTTCTCTATTTGCTTACCCAAGCAAAATAATATTGAACTATCTGCTGAGTTTTTATAATGACACAGGGCGCAAGTGTAGAAATGTTTTTTTGGCCAGACATTCACTTTTTATCTCAAGCTCTCGGAATTCAATTTTACTTCCAAGCATCAGTCATTTACTGTGAAATCCAAATTGAAACCAAATCAAAAACCGATCCATTATCCGATCCAAAATATAAAATTATTCGAACGGGTTTTATAGGATGGTACAAAAAATAAACTAACCCGAAAAAGTTATTAACCGATCCGAATGGATAACCTGAAATATCCAAAATTAATAGTCGAAATAAATATTTTATATGTATATATATATATATATATATATATATATGTATTTCAAATATTCAGTTCAGTGTTTATGTTGATATGATATATACAATAAATATTAAAATATAAATAAATACTTTAAATATGTAATTAGTTATAAAAACTATATTATAAAACTAACAAGTCTATTATATATGTATGGCAATGCATATTGTTTACAAATGATGTTTGTTTTCATGATTCAACATTTTATTTTTATCAATTTTATGCGTGTAAGATTAATTTCTATTCAGTTTAAGTGTTTTTTTATGTTTTGTTTAAATTTTTTTTTTTTTACTTCAGATATATCTGAATTGAACGAATATAAATAAGTAATTTATATTCTCGTTAAAATAACAAGTCTATTCTATATGTAAGGTAATGCATATTGTTTATAAATGATGTTTGTTTTCATGATTGATTTGACATTTTATTGTATTTTTATCAATTTTATGTGTATAGTAATGCATATTGTTTATAAATAATGTTTGTTTTCATGATTGATTTAACATTTTATTTTATTTTATCAATTTTATGTGTGCAGGATTAATTTCTATTCAATTTAAGTGTTTTCTTTTATGTTTTATTTAAAATTCTGATTTTATTTTGGATATATCCGAACCGGACTGATACAATCCGAATTTAAATGATATATAATTACTTTATAGGTTTTATGTTGCAATAGACTTGTTCCAAATCCGAACGGATTTGAACCAAACCCACGACATGTACTAATAAAATATTAGAATTGGATCTATAACTGTAAATCTGAAAATCCAAAATATTTGGTCCAATATCTGAAGGTTTTTTCCGGTTCCTTAGTGGGTTTTGGTTTCGTGCTTCATCAATCTCATGGTAATGAGTTCAAGTAATGTTTGTTTTAAAATAGACAACTCCAAGAGCTGGATGGGGTAAAAGAGATGTGAAAAATCCAGAATCAATAGCGGATCACACGTATCGGATGGGTCTTATGGCGCTTATCTCTTCAGATATCCCCGGTGTAAACAGAGACAACTAAGGTTTCTTTGTTGCTTCTCTATCTATCGTCAAGTTTATAGTTTCTGAAAGAAAAATGATTAATTTGAACTTTCCATGCCGTCTTTCTTTCAGGTGCATGAAAATGGTAGTTGTTCATGACATTGCAGAAGGTTAGTACTTTCACTTATAGATATAATATAATCCCCTTTTTCATTAAAAGATATCAAATTTGATCATTGTTGTTGAGCAGCCATTGTAGGAGACATTGCACCTTCTTGTTGACTCTCTAAAGAAGAGAAAAGTTGAAGAGAAAGTGAAGCACTTGAACACAAGTGCAAGATCTTGGGTGGAGGAGAAAGAGGTTGGGCTCTCGTGTCTCATCCTGAAACTAGGTTTAAGATCTTGTGCTTGTTTGCATAACGCTTCTAATTTTTATGAATGCATATTGTGATTGCAGCTGAAGAAATAGCTGAGCTAGGAGAGAATATGAAGCAAACACGTCACCAGAAGCCAAAGTTGTTAAAGATTTCGATAAGCTTGAGTTGATACTACAAGCTTTGGAATATGAACAAGGTAATGACCTTAAGAAAAAAGCCTCATGAGGACTCCTGATTTGACAATATGCAGAAACTAAAACTCTATTTTATGCTTGTTTTGTGCAGAGCAAGGTAAGATCTAGAAGAGTTTTTCCTATCAACCGCAGGTACTTTCTTTTGTACAATGTAGTCCATATCCGTAATCAGAGTATATATATGGTTGAAGATTTAAAAACTTATTGATGTTTTGATACAGGGAACTTCCAGACATTTATAGGCAAAGCTTGGGCGTTGGACATTGCTTCGAGAAGAAGAAAGCAAAAATAGTTGTAGTTAGTTATATATTATTGGAGTATCAAACACATGAATGGTTGGTCCATCTTCAAAACCCCCAATGCAACGTTCAAGGATTGTAGGCATGAGTTATTTAGTTTCATGTACTTACCAAAAAATTGAACTTGTGAGTACAAAAAAGGGCAGCACAATATAACATATAGTCTTCCCTCTCTATCACACCCGTAATCAATAATATTTTCTACTTCCTAGTCATTTCCACCAATCGTTCCACACTTAAAACTTCAGAGCCTAAGATGGATCAAAACACTTATAAGAGTATATATAAAATCATTTAATAATCCCTTATAAAAGATTATATTGTTATAATCCCCTATAAAATCATTTTATAACGATTTATAAACTATTCATAAGGTTTAAAAGTCTTTTATAAATGTTTATAAATAATTTATAAGGGTTTATAACACATTAATAAGGTATCTACATTTATAAGAGTTTAATATATTATATATAAAAGCTTATATATCATTTATAAAGGTTTATAAGGGTTATAAACTAGTTTATGAAAGCTGATAAACTAATGTATAAGAGATTATATTTTGATTTACAAGAGTGTATAAATTGATTCATAAGGGTTGATAAACTGATTTATAATACTTTATAAAACTTCTAAAGGAGTCTATAAGTTAATTACACATATTTATAAACTAATTTATAAATATTTGTAAATCACTTGAATCTAACTCCAACAGAGTTTGGACTTGTAAAATTTCACTTCTTGTTAGTTTTATAAACTGAAACTAAGTTGCAGTATAAACAAAAATCCAAATAAACAACAATAAATGGTCCATAATTCATAATTAATAAATCAACTTATACACCCTATAATTAGTTTTTAAACCTTTTTAAATCAGTTTATAAACTCTTATGAATCAAACTTATAGACTATTATAAATAATACATTTCATAAATTAACAAATAAACCTTAATAAATTAGTTTATAAACCTTTATAAATCAGTTTAAAACTCTTATAATCACATTATAAACCTTTGTAAATCATTTTATGTCTTTATAAACACTCATAAGTCATTTATAAACTCATATAAATCAAATTCAATTTATAAACATTACAAATAACAGACTCAAAATAATTAGAGAATTTCCAACCATCACTAGAGGAGACCAGACACTAGTACAGACCATCACCATCTGATTAATTCTTGCATTGTAAACGTTTGAGGTGAGAATACATCTTAAGCTCTTCACTGATCATAGGAGTGGACAAAGATCTTTCAGCATTGGTGGTTGTTGCTGTTGTAAAAGAAGAAGAAACATGGCCAGCTGGTTGCTCATTTGATTTTACAGTTACTGCTAACTTACTTCCCAGTATTAAAATCAATTAATGAATTTTATAAACCGTTTATAAAGGCTTATAAATTATTTGTAAGAGTCTATAAACATTTATAAAGGCTATTTATAAGAGTTTATACATTTATTTATAAATGTTTATAAATAATTTACAAGGTTTAAAAATATAATTATAAGAGTTTATAAATCACCAAATTAACCAACTTTCCACCATTTCTTTGCTTATTTAAGAACATCATTCTTTTACAGTTCATGTTACCTACTCTTTTAGAATAGAGTCCTAAATTTTATCTACTTAATTTATGAAAGCTGATAAACTAATGTATAAGAGATTATATTTTGATTTACAAGAGTGTATAAATTGATTCATAAGGGTTGATAAACTGATTTATAATACTTTATAAAACTTCTACAGGAGTCTATAAGTTAATTATACATATTTATCAATTAATTTATAAAACTTTGTAAATCACTTGAATCTAGCTCCATTAGAGTTTGGACTTGTATGCAGAATCTAGCTCCAAGTTATGAAAGCTTATAAATAATGTTTTTTTTTTCTTTTATGCAGAGCCGGTCTTTTGAAACATGTCGTAACAAGGAAAAGCTTATAATGACACCGAAATAATGGTTTGTATGATAATTTATAAGGATTTATAAGGATATGTAAATAATTTATAAATGTTTATAAAAATAATTTATAAAGATTATACAACTTTATAGAGGTTTATAAAACAATTTATAAAGATATGTAAAATTATTTGTAAGTCCATACCATTTATAAAAGCTTATAAAACAAGTTATTAAATCTATAAACTATTTATAAATGTTTATAGAAATTTATGAAAATGGTTCTATCTTCGGATGGTCAACAGGTACAGAGGCGTGCAGCCCTTTAGAGAATAAAAGTTTTAGTTTTTTAGAGTAACCTTGTTCAATATCTCCCACCCAGTGTACATGTCAATAAATTATAGTGTTTTTGTTTTAGTTCTCAAATTTCTTCAACTGGATTCTCAAAAGCATAAAGTATCTTATGCAAGAACCAAATGATCAGCATATGTCATACAACAGGTATGCACGTGCGTTTTTTATGTTGTTTATGGTGTTGAAGCCAAATCTTTGTAGTCACATAGTTTTCTTCCGTGCCAGTGAACTTCTTGTGGTATTCTTGAAGTTGTTATATGATCAAGATCCAGTGAAAGACCTCGTGGAGGTATCTGGAGCTGATGATGACATTGAATTGATATGTGGGCTACCTCTTTCCCTGTCTAAATCATATTCTCACAAAATCTATATTCTCACAATTCATCATAAACTTACTCTTGTTACTTATTACAAATGTGTGATTTGAGTCGAAGTCTAACATTCACACTTCCTAATCTACCACCTAGCTTTGCTTCTGGTGTGGTTTGTTGTTTGTCTCTCGCCGAGTTTGAGCTACCAAAAACTACTAAAGAATCTCATTGTTAAATCCAAAACTATCGTCTTTATCTTTCTCGAGATTGTTTCTTGGAGGGATTGAGCTTCCTGAACCCGGCGTGTAATAGCATAACTACAAAGAAACACAAAAGAAAGCATTAGATTTCATAACTGACTATCCATATACATAGCTTAATCGAACTTGACCAATCTGTTAGCTAGTTACCTGAATAAATGACCGCAAGAGCAGAGAAAAGAGCCATTTGGACATTCAGAAACGTAAGAAGAACCGCAGTCGCTGCAAGTAGGAGAAAATAAAGCAACGAAATTAGTCTCATTTCACTACATATATAATACTATAACCATCTAAAAAGTTTCAGTTTCGACAAAATTCCGTGACAACCATGCTATTACCACATATGATCCTATTAATATCAAGCTCTAATGATTAAGCTAAACAAGGAAGTCGAAGGATTGATTTGATCCAAAAAAGATCCCAAAACCCCATAGAAAGCTTCTCTATAAACCCACATCAAAACGTTCTCAGCATTCTATGATTAAAAGAAAATTGCAGAACTACAAATGCAGTAACAAATCCATCATTAAACCTCACCGCACTGTCCAATACCAATCATGAGTTTCCGAGCAGAAGGGTGACGATCAAACTTCCACCTGTCACTACAGTACTTAAACAGCTCCCAAAGTGCTAAACTTGCTAACCTATTAAATTTTTACCAGTCCCTGGAGGACCATACAAGAGAACTCCCTTTGGTGGACGAACACCAAGCTTCTCGAAACGCTCCTTGTGCGTCATGGGGAGCACAATAGCCTCTACAAGCTCTTGAATTTTTTTCACAAAATAAACAATCAGATTCAACAAAACAAGCAAATTCAATAAGCTAAAACAAACACAATGGGATAAAATTAACCTGCTTCTCTAATCCTCCAATGTCATTGTAATCTTCAGTAGGTTTCTCATCGACCTCCATGGCTTAGTTGCTATGATCTTGAACTATGACCTTCTAACCTGATCTTCCCTGAGGTGTAGACACGGAAGCCATTGTAGAGGAAACAAGTTTGTGTGCATTGGTCGAATTGTGATTGCTTCTATAGGTCTTAGGCACATGTACTAGTTTGATCACACGTGTTTTCCAGGTTTGGAGTTGGGCATGAAAATTGCTTCGAAAATCTCCCAAATCATCAGTAACAGTTTTGATTCATTTGGATCTCCTTTTGTATCCAGTGTGACACTTAATGGCAAACACTAGCACCTGTGTAGTTCATTTCAAGTATTCAGATGGAAGACAAGAAGCCCTGGGATGAATGAAAAGGTAGAGAAAATATCAAGAATAGAAAATGAGTGAAGGTGAGGACGTAATGTGTCATAGAGAGAGACTCAGGTGAGGATGGCTTTTGTTTACAGTAGCCAACTGTACTCTCTCAACCACACCCACATTTCAGCTTTTAACACCTGAGTTAGAAAGCTTTTAACACCGACTTTTGTGGGTTTTGTCCTCGCCATGTAGCATCTGATATCTACAAAGCACAAACACCAACACTTTCAAACTCCAACTTAGTTCCCATAAATTTCTAAACTTTACAAAGCTTTAAACCTAAACAAATAAACACAAACACCAACACCTTCAAACTCAAACATAGTTCCCATAAAGTTTTAAACTTTAGAAAGATTTAAACCTAAGCAAAGAAGATAAAAGGAGCCATACAATGCACAAGCGAAGAAGACGATGAACAAGGTAGCATAATTCCTAGCGAATCTCTTGACATTCTCATGAACCCTCATCCTCTCCTGCTGAGAAGATGCCGGGAACGAGTAAGAGTCACACGCCCGGAAGAACCCTGTGGTCCACGGAGGCGTATCGCCTGAGAAGTCATCGGCGGAGAGCTTTGAGAAAGGGTTGATGGTCAGGAGAGACGAGACGGTGACGAGACGGGATAAGAGAGAGGCAAAGAAGCCGTTGGTTACACTACAATCGTTTGGACTTGTCGCATTTGATAACCGATTTTACCGGAGATGGCCGAGTTCGCCCGAGTTGCGGGAGATGCCCGAGTTCGCCGGTGATATCATCAGACGAGATTTGGAGAAAAATAGATCTAGGTTTGACCAATGAATTGAGGGATAGAATAGTATTTTGCATATTAAAATTTTAAGGGTAAAGATGATTAATGTAAAAGTGAAATAGTGTATCATGAATGTGCTAGTTTTAGAAATTTCCCTATAATATATGAAAATAAAAACAATAAATAGTATAATGAAGATGGCCAAAGATACCAACAGATCAACTGAGACAAATTGTAAAGATTTATCTTTTTTGAAGGTATTCTTTATCAATAGAGTATCAATTCTATTAACTCTTTTGCGAGCTTTATATCATCATCGCATCACGAGTACCGGTGTTCATTGTTGTATTACATTAGCCTTATCTAAAACTAGAATTACAGATATTTTCCGGTATAGAGTTAAATCAAGGGAACATTAAAGAAAATTATATGTGTAAGTTAAACTTTTTCCAATAAAACTATAAAATGATAAAACTTTTGTACTTGTCTTTTCATCATATGATCAAATACAAATTTTAAAAAATTTAATATACATTCATCAACACTATTTTCATTTCACATGAATAAAAGAACTCTTAGGTTAAACACCTTCCAAGATTAACATTGCAACCATGTGTGAACCAAATCAAAATATTCCAAACTATCTCGACGGAGGATTAAACACTCTTGAAGTACTATGACCCCTTCTCACATTTCCTCCAATATTAATAACCTCTAACCATGACAATGGTTTGTTTACTATCAGAATATTAAATAAGCGTAACCATTACCAATAAAAATGAGAAGCATAGTTAAGATTCATATTCCGTGGACGTTAATACACAAAACATACACGAACAGTCTATGCCCATAATATAGCTGAGCACAACAAAATCTACTACTACTTCATTCACAGGGTCGCTTTCTGGTTGAGATGGTGAAAACAATTAAAAAGATGAAGAGCACCACCAGACACTGTCATAACACACTGAGATAAGCAAAGAATGAAGGTCTTTGCATCACCTTCACAGTTTTCCAAGAGTGGAGCGAGTATTGAAACACATCTTTGGTTAACACCTACAAACACAATTTGTTAATATGTTATTTGTCGTCTCCTTGATTAAAATGTTGCAAACGATTTGGAGAAAAGGTCATGGTTACAAAAAAAATATATGACGGCCACTGCCACAACACTCAAAACAACTGTACAAAGATGCAAACTAAAAGCTCACCAATATAAACAGTTAGACGAAAACATTAATACCAAAGGAAACAGTTAATAAAACTGAAACATGACATAATACATCCACCGCATGGACATCAGAAAAGGCAAACAATATCACAACATATCGAGCTATTATTACAATTACCACCCACACTGGTCTGTGACGAATAAATAAACAGTACGACATAACTCAAACATAACTCCAACAAACGAGGCTTATAAGGAGATATACGATCACACCATTTACCATTTTCACTACCACTACCAAACCCGACAAAATTTAAATACACAAACACGCAACGCATACAACCACCAATATATAAGAACCCACACAAAGAGCAGACACATTAGCATAAATTTTCTCAAGTATTATGAAGTTTTATGTATTCTGAATATTGGTGCATTCTGAAGTTTTCATGATGATTTCAAGATCGTGAGCCTGGTTCACATTATGGGGACAGAAATATCGAAACGGATTCATTAGCAAAAATTCTAGAATCAAATATGTTATATTCTCTCATACAGATCAGATACGATCAAACATATGTGCTCTCTGAAGAAATCTCTTGTCTGATGAGAATTTGATCTAGTAAAATCGGTAGCTGACAAAAAAACATTTATAGATTTTCTCAAGTATAAAACAAAAGAAAAATAAATAAAAATATGAGAGAGGAAAAGGAGATCTCTTGTAACAAAACTATTGAAAATTTTGGAAAGACCCAAAAACTAAGTGTCACAAATTAAATAGCTAAATAACTTAAAATAAAATAACAAAATAAATAGGTATTATTATTTTGATTTTTAAGATATCGAAAGTCTCTGCCAATAACGATATGCTCTAAGGTTATAGTTTTTGTTTTGTTTTCATGAATCTGGAATCCCCCAATATATTAAATAAGAAGTCACTTTAGTGACTTTCGATAACGTGGCGCTCATATAGAGAGTTTCAGAAAATTCTTATAATTTCATAGGTCGAAAGTTTTTGATTTTTTCAATTATTTTTTTTAAACATCACCGATCATTGAGACTAGAACATACTAATATATATTGCCAAACAGAGTTAAAACAAAGAGTCAACATTTACGGTTTGTTTTTTTCAAAACTTCTTCTCTCACTTCACCAGGAAAAAAAAACTCAACGAAAAAATCCTAGACGAGAGAAGATGTCGGATCTTAGATAATCTATTTGGTATCACATCAGAGGATTTGCAAAGTTCTGGTGGAGAAGATCTAAACGAGAGAATATGAGAGGAGATGAGAGGGAGTCATGTCAGATTCTGATAAAGAGAACGAGAATCAGATTCTGGAACCTGGGGAAAAGCTTATTAATCCACCTTCTTCAGTCGATGAGCTTCTTTCTCTCATTGACGTGAGCTCTCTTCACCAATCAACAATTCTTTTTATAATTTTAATTTGATTTGGGGATTAGGGTTTCTGTTTGATAAGATCATCTTTATTTTAACCAAAATCAGAGAAAGAAAGATTCTGACCTTGCCGTACAAGAGGCGTGGAGGAGGCTGCTACCAGGTTTTGTTTTCTTCTTATTTTCATTTCTCTTTGATATTCATCTATGGTAACCAAAATTCTCTAATTTGGGTATCTGCAGAGATTGGAGTTTCTTGTGGAAGTTGTTCTGGACAACTTGATGACATCCTTTTTGGGGGCACTTTTCCTCGGCTGTGGGTTGAACAGGTATCATGTCTAGAGAATAATGCTATCTTTTTGGAATCCAGTGAAAAACTTGTCTAACCTGCAACTTAGTCCTAAGAAAGAACTTCTTGAATATTGACAATTTTACAAGTGGGATCAGGAGATATCAGCGGCAAAAAAGGATGGTGCCATCTCTGTTGAATTAAAAGTGACCAAGAAAGGTTCTAATTAGTGTTTCTGCAACTGGTCGGAACAAGAAAGAGAGTACAAAAAAGCTGCACAACTGATGCTTACAAACCTAAAGGTATCTTGAGTTCCTTCTATTTATGTGATGTATTTCTATCTTTCACTGGATGTGGTGCTTCAGTACAACTGCACTAATACAATACCAGAGCAGTTGTTGTAGAGGTTACACGGGTACATGATATTTTCATGGTAGCAGCTATACATTTATAGGGTTTCTGGAATTTACTTATATTCATTGTTGTTGCGTTTGTAGTCTCATGATGCCATGAAGTGAGCAAACGCCCAGTGAAAATAAGCACTCTGGCTTGAGAGAAAAGGAATTCTATGTGTGAGGTTGATGTCCAAGAGGTTTACTTAATCTTTATTCTAAATTTTCTCTACAGTGAATACTGTTTTTTCTGTTTACTTCTGATATTTTAGCTTCAATGATCGAACATAATGTTATGAAGATTGATTGACGTTGAAGTCTCTCTAAACTTTGTTTGCTCACCAGTGCTGCCAGCAGATTATCCACAACTCATTGATGTTGCATCCAAACCGTAAGTCTTTTGCACCTGAAATAATTTTAAGAATTATAACATTTTGGTTCGGTTTGGTAGTGATAAATGAGTAATGTTTATAGCCTATTTACGAAAACCCAAAACAAAATTAAATAACTTTTTGCAGGTTTCGTTGGGATTTTGTTTTCGAAGGGAACTTACTTCTATTTTATATTATTTATGGATTATATTTCAATTTTTATCATATTTTCTTTTAATATGTCACTATTTTAAAACAAAAATATAAAAACATAAATAGAATATTTCACCTAAAATACAGCATTCATACAACACAATTTCACTTAGTGATAATATAAACTTCTAATCTGTACACTATTATTTTTTTCATATTTTGAATATTTTATGCCTACATAGGCTGCTTTCGGAAGAGGAGTTATGCAACTCGTTCTTTATCTCTACCATACTTAATTCTGAAAATTTGCGCAAACCCTGTCTCAATAATGAAATTCTCATTTATCCCACTTTCTTCCACTCTGAAGATGCACAGTATGTCAGTATCAACTTTCTTGTATTTGCAATACATGGAGATCAATAAGTTCAATACTTAAATATTTCTATCAAGATCCAACTCAACCGATATCACACTATATTTGTTATGTTTGCATAAGATGTGGGCTAGTCATCTAGTTTCTTTTTAAGAAATAGCTAAACCAAACAAATCTTACCATATTCTCACTTATTGTGACGTCAGTCGTAAGTTAGCCAACTACTTTTACTAAACAACCAAATCACAACTTGCAAAAAACCCATACGCATAAACTAATCTCAAATAAAAAATACTCTTTTTCATACTCTTTTCTCATACCAAATACGAATTCTTTTCAGCTTTCATTTAATACAATTTAACCTCATATCCAAGATCGACTTTCCATTTATGCACCAAAGTAACGTGTGAGAAAACCCTACTTACTTATCATGAGCAATGTTTTTAAGCCTAATCTGAATATTGAAAGGAATTACTTTGGCGATCACCGGATCATTGGATCGCCCATTATCAATTGATTAATATCTAGCTATATATGAATATAATATTAGTAACTATTAACATATAAAATAGTAACCA